AGGTGAGTGCTGCCCACGGGCTGGAGCAGGGCCCTGCACCGTCCCCTTCCCTGAATCACGACTCTGCACGATAACAACACCCACAGGCGAAAAGCAAGGGAAGGACTGTGAGCCTTCCACATGGAAATTTTGAAGGTTTTCCTGGTTCTCTGCATGAGGGGAACCACTCAGGGGATGTGGCTTTTAAAGAGGTTTTGCTCCAGGGAATCACACTGTGCTGCTGGTTCGGGGCAGGGATGTGTCATTCTGTTCCTGCAGGTGTTAGGACTTCTTTTTGCCAGTTCTTCCAAGAAAGCATTTCCCGTGGGCAAACCTGCCTGGCAGGATGCCCCAACGCCAACACAGGCATCCTCAGCTTTGACAAGCCTCCCACGCCGTGACACGTCCCCTTTGCAGGGGCAGATCCTGAGCTCCCAAGCATTTGGCTCTGGTTTTTGGCTCATGCTGATCCATGGACAAGCTGGAAGCAAAGCATCCTCTTCCCAGCTTGGCTGCCAGTTTGGGAGCATCTCAGGCTTTTGGAGAATTTAGGTACATGGAGGTGGTGTTGGTTGTTCTCTGCATCCCTTGATATTTAAGGGAACTCAAGGAACAGCGAGGGCATGGGAACAAGGAAAGGAGCAGATGCCTCTCTCAATTTACAGGGATCAGCAACTGAGCGAGTCCTCAGCATAACCAGGGTGTAACTGGGAGCAGAGTCTGCCTCACATACCATATGCTCCCAATCTACCACGTTCAATCAAGCCTAATAAAATTGATAGGGGAACATTGAAAATCTCGTGATTAATTCTTTATGATCTGTAATAGGGGAGCTGTGTGCCAATTACTCGAGTAAATCATTCATCAGAAAATAAATAGAGCTAACCTCCAGCACAAACACTAGAGGATTTCCACCAGGATTGCAGGTCTGGATTGCAGCATCGCACCGCTGGTGCCAGCACGTTATCTGATGGAGGACACAAGAGTAGCTGCAGTTTTGCTGCTTCTCCTCAAGGTCTCATCTCTGTGCTCCAGCACCATTTGTCATCCTTCACCGTGTGTTTCAATGCTCCGTCCTTGATATCCATGACCCACCAGTCCAGGCCCTTGCAGGTTTGCAAGGGTTAAACCCATAGGGATCAGCTTTATTTCAGGGCACATTTGAACACTGGGACCACGACACAGGAAAGGTGGCACAAAGGAATGGGAAAAGGGCCCAGACCCATGCTGTACCCATAGGACTTCTGTCAGCAAGGCACAAAGCTGGGGTGGGACCAGGCAGATTGCAAGCTTGGATACAAGAAACCAAGACTGCCAGCGAAAAGTGGCCCTTCCAAGGTCACTGGAGATAGCCAGAAAGACTGGCTCACTTGGCTGGAGCAGGGGGTGAGAGGGCAGCCACAGGAGCCACAGGCAAACAGGGGAGTTCATCAGCATGTCCTGCATCAGAGGATGGCAGCAAGAGTCACCTGAGGAGAGTGGAAGCTGTATGTCCTTTATATCCCTCATTTTCCTTTTTTTTTTTTTTCAGCAAGGAAATCAATCCTTTGGCCTGGAAACTTTCTCCTGAGCTTGTAAGGAGAGATGACCCTCTGTGCTGAAGTTACCTGGATGCAGTTTCCTGACCAATGTCCTATTTCTAAGGGAAACCCACCCAAGAGCACTCCCTGCCCTGGATTTCCACATGTTGGGAATTCCCTGGGCTGTGTTTGAAATGCTCCTGAGCAAACTGCAATCTCACCAAGCCAGTGTGTCCTACTAACACACATGTAGCATCCTTGACTGGACTGATGCAACTCCATATTCACCAGTGACCTCTTGGGACCATGGTGGGATTTCAAAGGGCACTGGGGAGTTCAAGCTGAGAAAAGATTTGGAACAGCTGAGGCATGCCCTCTTCCTGAGCCAAGTGCTTGGAAATGAAGAACTGGATAAAAGGCATGCCATGGGGAGAAGAGGAGGGATGGGAACATAAAGAAAAATCCAGTCCATGCAGAAAGCCCTCTTTGTCTCCTTCACAGCTGCAGGGATCTATCTAAGGTGGGATGAAGGCTAGTATGGAGAGGCCCTGCTGCCACAAACATCCCCTTTCCCTCTTACATGGAACATCTTCACCAGACAGGGGATTTGGCAGTGGGAATGGCGTGAGAGCTCAAGTGTCATTTCTTGCCCTAAATGCTGCTGAGATGGTGGTAGGACACTGGTCCTGCAGCACATACCTCCACTGGGGTGACAGGACAGACGTGTCCATGACAGCCCAGCTCTGCTGGCCTCAAACAAGGAGCCAGTGAGACAGCTCATCCCTCTGCACCTCCTCACTGTCCTCCATCCCTTAGCCAGACCCATTCCTCCTCCCACTGTGCCACAACATCCTTGTCCTTTCCCAGCTGGCAGCACTGGCATCACCAGGACATCTTCCCCTTGCAGTCGGGAGGACAGTTTGGAGGTTTCTCCCTGCTAATTCCCTCCCGGAGGGGACATTCATTGCTTTCCCCATGGCATCCCCATCGCCCTTCCTGCTGCTCCCAGCACCCAGCTGGTGGGACTCACAGAACAAACATCCTCCCACCTGCTCCTGAGGCCGAGCCCGGGAGATGGCAGAGGCAATAATTACACACTTGGCACAGCAGAATCATCCAGAGCGAGTGAGAGGAGGCCGGAAGCAGCCAGAGGTCATCCATGGGGAACACTGCACCCACCCAGAGTGCCTCGGTGTGTGCCTCACCCCAAACCAGCCGAGTTTATACTGTGAATGTGCTTGACAAGGCCCTGTGTGAGCACCCTGGGGAGGTGGGGGTGTGCTGGTGCAGTGAGGTGTTTGGAGCAGCAGAACTAAGGAAAGCCAGTTTCCTGTGGAGCTGAGCTGGGATCCCCTGGCTCTGCTGAGGCATATCCTCCAAGGATGCCATTTTCCTGGGGAGGGCTTCTTGGGAGCCATCACTCACACATGCTTTCAGTACCTGTCAGGGCATGAGCACTGGGACATCCCGTCCCTTCCCCACTCCCAGGAGTCCTTGGGAAGGACACTTGCAGCTCATTCACACCAAATTCTTTTTTGAAGAAAATTTATTTCCTTGCAAAGCAGCGTCTGCAAAAGCAGAGACCCTCAGAGGTCTGCAGGGATGATACTACCTGATTTCCCAAGCACAAGCAGGTCCAGGACTGCAGCCCACTAGGTGCATCAACCACAAACATCCCAGAGAGGAGCAAAGAAGAGAAATAATGAGCAGTAATAATAATAACAGCAATTAAAAATATACCACACTGCCTGAAGGGAGAAGGCTGCAATGAACTGTCCTTAAAATACATCCAGACTGGATGGTTTTACATTTTTCCCTGAAATGACAAGTATCAGTCAAGCAACATTTAATTTCCAGTGCCAGGGAGCCACTGGAGTTGTTTCCCAGCTCCTGGCTCTGGTGGGAGTGCTGAACAGAGGCAGGGCAGGGGATGGAAAGGGGTTGGGCAAGGGTCGGGCAGGGAATGGGCAAAGGTCATGGAATCATAGAATCTCAGAATGATTTGAGTTGAAAGGGACCTTAGAGATCACTTAGTTCCAACCCCCTGCCATGGGCAGGGACACTTTCCACTAGACCAGGTAACTCCAACCTCACCTTGAACACCTCCAGGGATGGGGTAGCCACAGCTTCTCTGGGCGAAAGGGAATGGAAAAGGGGTCGAGCAGAGGTCAGCAGGAGACAGGGCAGGGACGGGTAGGGGTTGGCAGTGCCTGTCTCTGCCCCCGCAGCAGCGGTGGCCCCTCTGTTCTCTCCCACTCTCTCCCCGGGGCTGTCCCACTCCCACTCCCATTCCCACTTCACTCCCACTCCCAGCCCCACTCCAGCTGCCCGGGGGGTCGAAGTCCAGGCCCGGCGGCCGGACGCGCTCCCGCACCCGCGGCGGAGGCGAGGTCAGCGCCGTGCCCGTCCCGCAGGCCCCGGGCCCGGCGCGGCTCCTCCCGGGGAGGCGGGACCGCGGCTCCGGCAGCGCCTCGGCGGGCCCCGCGCTCGGCCGCGGCCATGGCGGGGCGGCCCGGGCCGGGCGCGGGGCGGCGGGAGGAGGCGGCGGCGGGCGGGGCCCGGCGCTTCCCGCTGGAGTGCTGCGAGGGGCTGGGCGGCCTGGATTACAGCCAGGTACCGGCGGGCCGCGGGCGGGCGAGAGGGCGGCCCCGGGGAGGGAGCCCGGGGGTGGGTCCTGCCCCCCTCCCCTCCTCCCCCCGCCGGTGCCACCGCGGGGCTCGGCGGATCCGCTGGGAATAACCCGCGGGTTGTGCCCGCAGGCGCTGCAGGCCCGGGGCGCTCGGTGCCCGGTGCCCCACGTGCACCCGCTGCCCTCCCCAGCCCGGTTCCGCCCAAGCCACGCTCCGGCCGCGCAGCAAGGACAGCCGCGGCACCGCGCAGGAGGCCCGTGGTGGCTTACGCAGGTGCCCGTGCAGCTCTTGTTTGGGTGTCTGTGCTGCTCTCAGCCAGGTGCCCGTGCAGCTTTCGTTTGGGTTCCCATGCAGGTCTCACCTGGGTGTCCATGCAGCTCTTGCCCAGGTGCTTGTGCTGCTCTCACCCAGGTGCCTGTGAAACTCGTTTGGATGCCTGTGCAGCTCTTACCTTGGGTGCCTGTGCAGCTATCACCCATATATGCCCCTGCAGTTCTTGTTTGAATGCCTGTGCAGCTCTCACCCAGGTGCCCATTTATCTCTCACCCAGGTTCCCATTTATCTCTTACCCAGCTGCCCGTTTATCTCTCACCCAGGTGCCCATGCAGCTCTCACATGAGTGCCTGTGCAGCTCCCACCCAGGTACCCATATATCTCTCACTCAGGTGCCTATGTATCTCTCACCTAGGTGCCCATTTATCTCTCACCCAGACACCCATATATCTCTCAGGTGCCCATATATCTCTCACCAAGGTGCCCGTGCTGCTCCCACCCTCCCTGACTTTGAGGCTGTGGACAAGCGGGCAGTGCCTGCCACGGTCATTGATTCTCGTCGGGGAGGAGGGGGCAAAGTTGAATGTTCTGTGCCTGTTACGTGGCTGTCCCGGCAGCTCGCAGAGACAGCTCATCCCATTAGGGCTCCCCTTTTATCCCGAAAAGCACACACCAGGCACAGGCCAATCTGCCTCCCGCTGGCAGCAGCCACGAATTTGGTTGTTGAGGAGCAGAAAAGAAGGTGAGTGCAATGTTAACGATGTTGCCAGCTGGGAGTTAGTAGGTCAAGAAGCTTTTGTTCAACCCGTGCTGGCGGTGTGCTCGGCACCGTACAAAACGAGAGGAAAGAAGCTGTCCTGGTCCTGCAGGATTGCAATTGAAGCAGGATTAGACAGTTCGGCCCCGGTGCCAGCAGCTGTCTGGGTGCTTGGGTTACGGCTTGACAGTTTGAAGGGACAGGGTCTGGTGGGAAAGGGCTGCTCGGGGCTGAAGGGAGGGGAGGAGAGGCTGGCAAGTGTGGGAACAGGGGGAGACGGGTCAGGATCAGGCTCTGGGGGCTGTTCCCATTGTTTCTCACCAGCACCCTTGTCCCCAGGGCTCAGATGAAGAAGCCCGGGGGAGCTGGGCTGGTAGTGGTTTGAAGGAGGCTGTGGACCTCCATAAAGATCCCCCCTTTCCCGTGGCTGTACAGCCTTTTCTCCTGCACTTTGCACTGTGGGTGGTCATGGCTGGGCAGGAGGCACTTGGAGTGACTGGATGTGCCCTGGGCCAGCACGGGAGCTATTCCCACAGCCTTTTCTTCGGGCTAGGAGCGGTGCTGTGCTTACCAGCCCCTCTCCGTGAATCGTACTGTGGCTCTGGTTCTTTCCAAGAACCTTTGAGGGGCCAGTGGGAATTTCTCTCCCGGATGGGCGAGGTGGAGCCGATGCCTTTTCGAGCCATTCTGTCCCCTGGCATCCAAAGGACTTGCAAACACAGCTGTGTTGGGGAAGCAAAAACCTTCCATGTCTCAGTGTTGTCTTTGATTTTGTTTCAAGCAAGGAAAGGGCTTGGGCTGGGCTGTTTTGTCTTTTGTTTTCAAAGTTTTTGGCAAAAAAAAAGGCCCTGGCTGACTTTCATCAAATAGCAGCACAGGGAGAGGGAGTGAGGAGGGAGAAGCAGCATGGCTTACTGCATGTAAAAAATGCTGACAATGTCAGGAGCCATCCTGGGAAAAAAAGCTCTTTCTTATAAGGAGAACAGTGAGTTTTAAGGGTTTTTTGTTGTCATTAAGACAGGAAATTCTTTTGCAGCTTCTTACAATGCAAATGCATCCCCCTCGCTGTGGAAGGGGTTTACATCACTATTCTTTCATGGAAGACAAGTTTAAGGCTGACACAGTTCATTGCTTGGAGTTTCCATGCAGACCAGCATCCCTGGGGCAGTTCTCTGTCCGCAGGGACACCGAGGTGCTGTGGACAGTGCTCCCTTTCCTGAAACATATTTGGGTTGGTAGCTGCCCTGTGAGACTTGTGAGACTTTGTGAGCAGCAAAACGAGAGCAGCAGTGTCATTGCAGTGCCCATGTCCTTCTAGGTGTAATGGCCAGTGTCCCATGGGAACCTGCACTCCAGTAACCATCTCTCCTTCCCCAGGTGGATGTGGCAGCCATGGCACGGCTCTTTGGCTACGTGGATGTGACTGACACTGGCTTCATTGTGGCTGTGCTCTCCATCGTCTTCAACCCACTCTTCTGGAATGTGGTAAGAGCTGCCTGCACTCCAGCTGCTTCTTCACTCTCAGCCTTCCTTTCCCAGCTTCCTTTGGGATGCACTTTTGGAGGAGAAACCTCTTTTGGGGAAGTCTGATGGGCTAAGTGGGGGGATTGGTTCTCAATTAGACATTAGAGGTGGGTGAGCAAGGAGCTGTGCTGCAGAGTGAGCTCCTGGGGCTGGAGGTGACCATGAGGGATGTCACAGAGGAGGTGAAGGTGGGAGCCAGCACAGGGGGGAGAGCAATCAAACCCGTCCTTCACGCGCTGGTCACCACTGGGACTGAGCATAAACAGCATTGACCCCCATCAGGGGGGCTGCACTGCGTACGTTGCCCGCTGCTTCCCCTTGAAATATGTTGGCAGCTGTTTGTGTGGATGGAAGGAAGGAAAAACACTCAGCCAAAAGTTAACCTGAAAAAAAATTCCTCCTCCACCAGGCTGCAAAGCCTGGCAAAGAGCTGCAGGGTTGGCAGCAAGCCAGCCCCAACGGGAGCAGGGTACCTGTGCTCGGGTTGTGTTCGCTGTGTCTGTGGAGGCCACAGTGCTCTGGGAACCATGGCTGGAAGAGTGTCCACTGCCCTGTACCACTGTGGTTTGCTGCCTCCCTGCAAGAGCAGGAGGAGTCATTGCTGGCCCTGTTTCTGAGCATTGCAGAACCAATGTGCCAAGCAGGGAGAAGCTTTGGGCAGGTTGGCTGCAGGATGAGGGGACTCTCACCCCACAGTACCCTCAGCTGCACAGCTGAAGTATGGGGTGAAATGTCCCTGCCAGCACTCGTGGGAATGGGATGTCTTTTCAACCACGATTCCAAAATCTGCCCACCAAACCTCCTGACAGGGATTCTCTCCCTGGAGAATTCTCCTTAAAGAGGCCTTATTTTTCCAGAGGGGGAGGACTCATCTCTCTCTGAGCGTGGGGGCTCTTGAGGTTGTCTCACGCTGGGCTTTGGAAAAGCGAGGCTCTCCTGGCTGTGAGTCACTTTGGAAACCTCTGTCGGAGCTCTTTGTTGCAGCCTCCCTAATTTTTCATGCAACTCGTTATTAAAAAGTCTCACGGTGTCTGAAATGCGAGCTGGAATATGCCACATTATTTCGACTGTGGAGTCATCATTTAGCATAAAGAATCAATGAACAAGAAGATTCAGGATGTGGTCTCTGGGGGGAGAAACTGGCTCTGGCAAAAAAACTACATGAAAGAGAAAGAAAAAAGTACTTTATTAGCATCTGCTGCTACGCCTGCGACTCGTGGGACGCCTGCAGCTTGGGAAATAGCGTTGCTTTTTGGCTCAGGAGTTTGGCTGCTGTTAAAGGACAGGGAAAGCTGATGTAACAGCAGGAAGTTCGTTGCTCCGCGTTGCTGTTGTCCCCTCCCGGTGACTGGAGAGCGGTGCCGTTGGCAGCAGGTGGCACTCCAAGCCAGACGTGCAAGGCTGGGTCTGGGAGCAGGAGGCATCTCGGCGTGGGTTTGAGTGAGCAGCCCGAGCTGGGTGTTGGGGGAAGCTCTGGGGAGGTGAGCGTGGCGTTCCGTGTGTCCCCTGCTGTACCAGGCCGGGTGGATCTCACAGTCCCTGGGCCTCCACACCTCTGTGCTCTGCCCGAGCACCGGAGCATCTCCCTCGAGTTTTCAGTCACAGTGTGTGGCTCACATCAGGCACTTCTGGAAGGCTCTTGCAGGGGATCTGTGGGTACTGCAGCCCTAAACAAGCCCCCAGTGTTGGGTACATTTCAGCAAGAGTGGCCCCAGACATCCCTGATTTTCTCTGACCCGCTTCCTTTACCTCCTCCTCGTCCTTTTTTCCATGTGATCAGTGTCCCCTGCCTGCACCCAGCCAGCAGCTCTTTCTTTCCCTACATCCCTGCACAGGCTCCCTCTGTCCCTGGCTATTTGGGTTCCTTCCCAGCAGCTGAGATTTCTTCTGCATCTGAATTACTCTGGGTTTCCAAGAGCTTAAGTGCAAAGACTGGATTTCTGCACAGCGCCAAGCACTCTCTGCTCTCTCTGCTCAATAAGTAATGTGGGACCATGCTCAAAATCCCTCCTGTGCATGAAATTCCTGATTTGGATAGAAACTGGGTGGGGATGGATTGATTTAGTTCAGTGTCTTAATTCCCTGTTTCTGCTGAACTCCAGCCAGGTCTGCCTCTTCCAAAGTTTGGCGCCGGGTTGTCCTTGCTATGCAGTGCGTCTGAATAAATATGTGGTGGGGAAACCCTGGCTCCATGGAGAGGTGCATATCAAGGCCTCCAGCACAGCAGGGTGGGCTAGTAAGCACCAGGCATGTTTCTCTGGGACTAAACCTGCAGAGTTTGGGGATGAAGCATGAACTCTGGAGGCTGTGGAGGAACGTGGCTCCAGAGAAAAACCTGATGCTTGTCAGGTCAATGGATATACTTTGGCTAAGAGAGCAATTTCAAGGACCAGAGCCTAAGTGGGGCAATTTGCAGACTCCAGCTGGATTGTGCTGATGCTCCCTCCTGTTCTCCACAGGGGAGAAAAGCTATTCCAAAAAGGCCTCGGGACTCCCAGTTCCCACCCTCCTCCCTGTGGGCATGTGTAGGAGGCTACCACGAGTGTCTCCCCAGGGCTGCCCACTGCATTTCCCCACCAAACTCAGGGCTTGCACCCCTTCTTCTGCTTCCATGTCCTCTGTATATGTTAAAATCCCATCCTTGCCTGGGCAGCCCCCAGGTTATGTTTGCCACAGCACAGCTTGGATGTGTTCCTGCACTATTCTCTGGTTTTTCCCTTTTTTTTTCCCCCTCTCCTCCTCATGCTGTCTCTGCTTTCCCACCCACCGTGGCTGTTATGAAAGGAGCTGCTGGGAGCCGTGGTCCTGCATGAGGCAGGAACACAGGTGAGGTCCCAAAAGGCAGCAGTGGAGCTGTTTTGGGAATGAAATCACTTCAAACTCCCCAAGGATGTTCCGTGCAGCTGGGAGACTTGAGGTACTGTGGGGCTGTAGAGGGGCACCCGGCAAGGAGCAGGCACATCTCTGGAGCTGTGCCATAAAACGTTAATGAGGCCAGAGCAGCAGGAACTTCAATAAATCCCATCTGTGTTTGGAAAGCCACAGAACCATGGGAGAAGCTTCCCATCCCTTGGTAACTAAGGAAGGTATTAAATAACAGCTCCTCAGGGACAAATATTTTCAAGTCAGGAGAGGCAGATAACCTGCATGCAGGAGGCTTTAAAGAGCTGGCTGAGCCTTTTCACAAGGGGACTTTCCAGAAAGCTGGAAGGTTTCTGTCACTCTCAATAGCAACCAGGCATAGCCATGAGGCCACTAGTCTGACGTCCATCACCACGCAAGTGAGTTTTAAGTGGGAAGTGCATCCATCAGCAATCTTTTCCTGATTTGAGCCTCTTAAAAATTTAGGTCTGGCGTCAGGGACCGATTTAGAAATGGCTCATCTTCAGCTGCCGCCCCAGAGCTCGCTCCTCCCGTCACCTCCGGTCACCCCCTCGAGGCACCCGTGTGTCTCACAGGAATCTGCAGGGTGAAACCCCAAATGTCACAGTTAGGAACAGGTTTGGTGTAATTTAGCATGATTTTAAAGAACACAGACCCCGTCAGACAGTGATTTTATTCTTCAAGGTTGCAGCTTTTCCTCTTTCAGGGTAGCAAGATCTCTGTTCTAGACCTCTGTCAAGCGTTTAAGCTGCATGAGGTTTTGATTAAAGAAGTAGTAGCTGCACAGGGACCTGGGCTGACAACGCCTGGCTCCTGATGGATGTGTACCTCTTGGTTCATTTATTTTTAATTTCCCATCCTTTTCTCCTTCTTTGGAGATTGGAGGAATCTGCCAAGTGGGTAAGAAGTGCTTGTGCTGGTGGGGAGGGGAGAGATTGCAGACACTGGCAGCCTGATTTCACCTACCTCTGACCACTTCTTGCTAAACTCGGAGGAAGGTGCCTGGCCCCAAACCTCCCCACGCTGCTGGGAAGCAAATGAAAGCTCGGAAGTTGCTGGGATTCAGACCTCAGTGAGAACTGAGAACTGAAACTCTGAGTAACCTTTTTAGGACAGGAGAAAAAAGCCTGATGCTGGGGGATTTCAGCAACTCTCACTGCCTGTCTTACAGAAGGGAAGGATTGAGCAGTGGTTTGATGGTGGTGTGTCAGCACCTCGCTGGGGAAAGGAAATTGCAGGGTATGGAATAGCTGCATGAGGGCTGAGATGGCAGCAGGGAGTACACCTCAGTTAGCTGAAGTTTACAGCGCTGGGAGATGAATGAGTTGGGGGTAGTTTAATGTTTTTTTCTGGCCTTCAAATTCTGTAAGCCTGCGAGATTTTTGTGGACTCCCCCGCAAACCTCTGCCTGCCTGCAGCCGTGGGGGAGAGCAGAAAACAGCCCTCAACCAGCTTCTGGAAAGTGCTTTTAGACCCCATCATAGAAGCCGCGGCACAGTGGCGATGATTATCTGCTTATAACAGATGCTAGATCAATAGCGGGGCTTCAAGCTATGCTGCAAGGCAATTGACTGCAGAAAGTGTTTCTTTATTGGGGTAAAGCTGGGCTTGCAACGAGGCTCAGATTCGCTCTTACATCTCCGGTCTTAAAATGTCACCACCAGCTCTGATGCCTTTCATCCTTTGTGCAGGGAGAGAACGCACATTATTCATAATTGGACTCTCTACCAGGCAGCAATAGCCGTTTTTATTTCCTACAATGGCTGAGGAAGAGTGAGGATTAGCCTTTTTTTTTTTTTTTCTGTCTCCCAAACAGCATTTAGTGGCAATTTTATTCCAAGTGACTTGGTAACGCTTTCACTCAGGCAGCGAGGGCTTCGCGTGTGGTTCGCGGATGGCATCGATTCTCCAGCTGTCTTATAACAGAGCAAGTCCTGGCTGGGTGTGTAACACCACCAGCCCTGTTTGTCTCCTAAATTTAGCTTTTCCAGTGTGTTGACACTGCTGTGAGCCACATAACAAGCACCAAAACTGGGTCGCACCCTCCAGTGTGCCGGCTGGAGTGGCACAATTAGGAG